ATCCATAAATGTATATATTTATATAGATGAGTTGCGGTGCCAAGCGAGATAGCAACAGTCAATGGGGCCGATTTTAGGGCATTTTTATGCAAAAGTATGCGGATACTTCAACTACACCAACTACACATATGTAGTTTCCCAAATGCGAAAAGAAACCGACTAATTGCCGTGCGTGACAATCTATACCACTCGGAGCAGCTTGAGACTAACCCGAGGGTTACTACAAAGCGACAAATGTTTGCGCTCACGTACATATGCACAACAACAAATGTGACTGCTGCTGGAGCGAGATGGCTATGCTCATAAACATTTCTTAACTACACACCTATGTATATATGTATATATATGTATATACACACATGCTTATTTAACTCTATGTATGTATGTATATGCATGGACGTATGTAGTACTTTACTTATATATAAATGTAAATTCGACGCATAACCATACACTGTATGTAGTATGTACTAGAGGTATACGCCGCCGAGCCACGCCGCCGCCACCGCAGTTTTTTGTCATTTCTCACGCGCCGCCGCCGAGTTACGTAAATATCGGCGCGGTGGCGGCGGCGGCGGTAGCGGCGTTCGGCGCCTAAGGAATTTCGTACAAAATTTTCATGATGTATGCACATTGAAATATGTACATCGTTTGAAGGAACTAAATACTACTCGTATAAAAACACTATTTTACGAAAAGATGATTACATTTTTAAAGGAGTTATTTCGCATAATTTGGGCCACTGAACATTTCCAAAAGAGCGTAACTCAGAAAAAACATAGGTAACACGTTTTATTTTTCTATTTGGCACATTTTGGCACTTTTTTATCCTCAATATGGCACTTCATAGCTAAGTAAGTATAGTTGGAAGCCCTGCTCCCAAGTGGTGGTCAAATCCCAGGAAGCGTTTGCTCCCGCGCATCGCAATGTCTTCTACACAGGGTTAAAGTCCCCCTTTTTCGTAAAAATTACTATTATTTTTCATTACATTTCAGTTCTCCTTAGAAAAATTTTGCGCTTAATATTTTAGTGGATATTTTAGCCACCTATAAGTGGCCAGAAAGGTCCGTACCTTGTTTTCAATATACATATAACCCGCAAAGAATCGTAACAACACCGTAATTTAACATAACGGATGATAAGTTTATTGCAAAAAAATTTGATAGCGATTCTTTTTCAAGTTGACCACGCCGCCGCCGCAAAGCCTGTCGGCGTAAACCTCTAGTATGTAGTAGATATATATTGCGGCACAAGAGAACAGCAGGGATTCCACGAGCATGGCAAGTTGATCCAGGAGTCGTGCAAAGTGCATAGACATTATGTATAGTATATATGGATGTATGTATGTATATTGTATTTCTACGCGCTCCTGTGAACGGAAATATGCTTTCATACGAGTAGATAGATATACATACATATGAAGTCAGAGGTTTAACGGCTCCGCGCAACGACTACTCCAAATATTTGGGCAAATTTATGTACATAGCTGTATGTATGTACAAATGTATATATGCATATATGTATCTATGTGTGTTTGTACATGCACTTGCATATTTCCGTAATAGCGTTGCTAATTTCGTATGCGCTCGATGTCGATCCAACCAACGGCAGTCACGTCCCGCCCATTTACGCGTTCAAAACGGGGCAACAACAACGAACGAATGCAAAAACAAATATCGTGCGGCATTAAAAACGAGCGGCCAACTACGAAAGAAAAGGAAAGCAAACACAACATGGCGGTCAACGGCGTTGGTAGGAAGAGACCAGCATGAGAGCCCAGTACCACAGCAGCAATGGCTGGAGGCATGAGAGAGGAAACAATAGCATGAACGTGGAACTTCTTCAAATGGGAATGACGAGCAGCGCGTGCAGCTGCTTAAAATGCTACTGGTACAACGAGTACATGACCGAACGGCTAGTCAGGTGCACGGCAGGCATCGCCCACACATAGATAGATATTCAGATTGCGGCACAGGCAGAGCGTTGAATTTGCATGCTTACTGCTTTCTTGCAACCTGCATACATACAAACATACAAACAATGCTGATTGGCATGAACATACATGCATATGTATCTATTTGCTGTGCGTTTATACAAACAGTATGCATGTGTGTACCTATGTATGTACATACACATGTATGTGTTGGCGGCACGAATCCTTTCTCACGTTCAGCTATTTAATACTTCCTCGCACGAAAGCTTTCACGAATATGTACATAGATATGTTTGTATGTAGATGTACATATTTACTAGATAATCAAAGCACTCAAGCTTCCTTCTCTTTTTCACGAATTGCTGGCGACTCCATGTGGCAAGAGAAAAACACAACTGCTAACTAACGGTGATAAAAGAGCCTTACAGAAGCTGCGTACACAAAATGTAAAGCACAGTACAGTTAGTTGTTTGTGTTTGTGTTGGTGTTGGTGTTGGCGTTGGCGTTTCTGTCGCTTTCTTCTCATTTCTGCCCATGGCATTGTGGCCCTTTTATTCAATGTAAAACTCGCACGTATTTTGTATGTATTTGTGTGAAAGCGCCAACACTTTGTTTGCAACGTACACGATACACACACTCATTTATGTATATGTATATGTAAACATAAACATATTTTTGGGCAGAAGTCATGGGCGCAAGCAGGCGCGCACACAAAAAAATTATTTATGGGGGTTTTGAATTCGATTCGAAGCTCGAAAAATTTACATGTAGTTACAGAGCACTCGCAATAATATAAACTCTGCCTTACGTTCACATTCCTTAACATAAACAAACTTTTTTTTTTAACATTAACTATCTAAGTACTCTGTAACGTGAACAAATTTAGAAGGCCAGCAATTTTGGTTGCGAAATAGACAAGTAAAACGCGAAGGAAAATATGTAAACAATGCGGAAAAATGTTACCAATACAAAAACAAAACAACAAATTTTAAATAATCCAATTTTGCAGAAATTAGTAAATATACAAAGTTTAGTTGAATAGGAACACGTAGCAATGATTTTGGGCATGTAGACCTTTAGGTAAATATCTACGATTTTCAGCACATGCTGGATGTTGGAAAAATGCTTGAAGTTATATGTACCTATGTACACAAAAAAAAACACTTCTCTTAATTGAAGAAAAACAGCAATCAAAGTGAAGAAAAATGGGAACGAAAAACCAAAAGATAAATTGCAAATATCTAGTTATTTGCCCACTGCTTTTGGGTTAGTGGGCGGAGGGGGAGGGGGAGTCGTTCTTGATATCCAACCCACTAGACAGAGCACATTTCACACTTTGTAAAAGTCACATCCACGCCTGGAAACCTTCTACAGGCCCTTGGGGAATCATTGGAAAATAATCTAAAACTAGCATTTTGACACCGGATATCTAAACTCGATAAACAGTATTTTTGTGCAGACCACCTTTATATTTTCAAAGATATTCAACATTTCTTGTGCATATAACTCCGGCGACGCCATCCATAGTATATTTGCGTAGAACTCATTCCAAAATTCACAAAAAGGTGAATTTTTCAGACCGAATTTATTAATAAATTAGTGACCAAAAGTTACAAAATTAGATTTTTCAATAAACTGTAGACTCTTGAATACAAGTGTGTCTAAAATTTTTTGGATTGGATCGGCCAGATTCGGCAGATAATTAAACCGTACCCAGTTAAAACTTTATTGGGTTTCACTCAATCAACAATTACACCAAAATGACGTCACACACACAGCTGATTCTGTCAAATTCACAAAGAGCGGATTAGCGATATCGCGATGGGTTGTTATTTTAATTAGTTTACGTATAGCGAGTACGTGTGCGATATGATTTTCGAAAGTGACACAACTCAAAATTTAGCATTTTTGAAATTATGCACTAAAAATGTACACAGAGCTTTTATTTATCTTTAAGCAAAAGCTGGAGCAAATTTTTGTTATAATTTGTTGAAAAAACTTATAGTAAAGTCTCCCTTGCCAATATGATTAGCATGTACTACGAAATAGTTTTTCGCATTTTCTGATAAACGTGTTATTTTGAGTTGTGTGACCTTTGAAGTTGCTGTGCGATATGTGCACATATTTTTTAAATGTCTATAACTTCGTTCACTTTTGATATTTAATGGAAAGAAGTTGGTAAAGAGGACCTCCTTGTGTAATTTTGAATTTAAAAAATATGTAGGTATGTGCGAAACAAACAAGTAAGTGTTAATTAAATTTTGCCTTCTTCGAAAGCTCTACTAAAGTAAGCTCAAAATTTTTTTTTTAAATTTATTTTTGAACAAAATCGAAATGGAAAGTTAATAATCAATCTTTTGTACCTAAGTACATTCCTACCTATGTATATGCGTGTAAAAACACACGCCTATTAACTACATGACAAGGATTAACACCACTATAAATGTTACCGATAGGTGGCGCTTGACTCGATATATGTACATATTTGGTAAACCACTATTTATGGTCCGATTTCGTTCATATTTAGGAAGCTTGCTTTAAAAATAAATATTTTACTATTAACTTATTAAGATGAATACATATGTATAACTACGCTATTTAGTTCGATGTATAAATAACATTTTTTATTTAAGTGTAACTAGAGTTATACCCACATCGGCATCAGGGGACTGAAACCTCCATTTTAACCCTCCCCCATTTTAACCCTCATATTGTGGGATTGTTACGCTCTGCCATCCGTGTGCGCCGCTTTCAATGAAGACTCTGCTGCTCTCTCTCCGTTCCGAAATGTGCGCTCTGTGCTCTGCTTCGCTCCATATCTTTGCCACTGTGCCTTCCCCCATCGCTTGACACTTCTACACAGCCCCGAACATATGTGTATGTATGTATGTAGAATATAGTTTGCCTAACCTCCTAAGGCATGGCCAGATTTTCGTGCCTTTTGGTTTTATTTTGAACGTGAATGCGTCGTCGAATTATTCTGCACGTACTCGTCGCCAACTTCGGACGCACTGTGTGTATAGAGTCGCCAAGTCGAACGTAGTGCGTAGATACGTTTCATTCTCGTGCACTTCCTTTTGTCGTTTTCGGTATTGAACCAGCGACCAGCAGCAGCGCGCATACTAACTAATCTGTGCCACTCCGCAACACTTTCTTTCGCAACGGTATCAGGGCTACGACCATAAGCAGACAGCAGATTTTCCAACACACAACCGAGGCGATTGAGTTGTTGGTTGGCAGTGACGGGTGGTAGTAGGTAGTACATAGCCAACCCCGCCAGTAGACGTGCAACTCGCCAGCTACTACGTGTAATCGTCGGCCACAATTGTTAGCCAGATCACATTCGCTGCTGAACGCTCACGCGTGAGCATCCCTGCACTGGCCTCACCGAACTCACTGGACTCGGTCGGCGCTGCCACAACGGCAATCAGCCATCATTATTGACAAGGCGCACATGCACATAGCAACGTGTTGTCATTAAGTACGCGTGAAACGTACAACGTATTGGGACGTGCACTTGCTGCTGCAGCCCGTTCGGCACGCGGTCAATAAAAGCTCAAATTCATCTGAACGCACGTCGCGTACGGGCCGTACTCGGACGCGGAGGATTCCATTGGAATTACTAATCTGAATTTGCCCAATTCGGCAGACACAAAATCGCAAGTGCCAACCGGAAGGCCACAGCCACAGCCAAAGCCAGACGCCGCCAAACCCTTACACGTTTCCTCATCGCAACAAACGGCCTGGCCTCCCTCGCTACGCTTTCAACAAAAACAAAAAACAAAAAACAAAAAAAATGGTATCAGTGAAAATTGAAAACTCGAGCGGTTTTGCAAATCGATTACTTCCGTGAATAGTGCGAGTGTTTGTGATAATGTGAATAAACGAAATCAATTTAATTGATGAATAAAATCCAATCAGACACCAAAAGCGAAAAAGTGTTAATGATCAAATTGCAGCTACAAACAAACATACGGTACACAAATTCTTGTAAAATGTGCCCAGCGTAACTTTTTTGTGCAAAAGTGTGAAAAAATCAAGTAAGCTTTGTCGAAAAGTGAGCAAAAATTAAAAATTTATCAATACAAAATATTTGCATAGAATGCAAAATACATAAGTCTGTACATATGTATGTATCAGTGTCATAGAGAATGCCATTATTAGCGGCAAAGAGTCAAAGTGCTAGCAACCAAATAAGTACCTAATATTATTGTACTAAAAAGTTAAACACAGAGGATACTTGCCATCCATCCTTTCGTGCGGCCACATTTTAAGGCAATTCAGACAATAAAACCAGAAATTAATCGACATGTTGCCCTACCAAGCCGTTGCCATGGACTATGCTGGCTACCAGCGACAGCCTACGCCTGGCCATCCGGGTAACCACATGCCGACCATGAGCTCGTTGGGCATGCCTGGTGTGGCAGCCGGACCCTTCACACACTCATGGCTGATGCCGTCGCAAGACCTTTGTGCTATGCCATATGGCAAAATGCCGAACCAGCATCAAGGCGGGCCTGGAATGCACGGAGCACAACAACCCATAGAACCCGGGTCAGTACCGCAAACCAAAATGTTTATGAAAATTTAGTAAAAAAAAAAGTGATGTCCTCTAATGGGTTTATGAAAATGTCATCCAGTTCACAAATTCATGTGGATCTTGTGTGTATGTATGTATGTGCAGGCGAAAGTAGTGTTACTCTTTTCTAGGACACACACACAAAATAAACATGTACATACATACCTACAAATATCTAAATTGATAAATTAAAGGGAGTCGTCTTTACCATACATACATATGTATGCGTGTGTGTAAATATGTCTATTAGGGCGGGTCGAAAATCGAATTTTTCTCAAATCCCTTGGTAATGGAGTCTGTATATTGTATCATAAAGTCAACAAAAAGCCTGCAAAATATTAGTCTTTTTATTTTTATTTTAAGAGCTCGCGCATCGACTGCCAAGTGACACACAGCACACTAGTCGAATAAGACCAGTTCCCGGTTAACGCAAAAGACAAAGTCAAATATCATTTCTGGCAGCCCTTTAGCTTATCGTTAATCTGAAACTTATCTCTTTTGTGAAATGATGTAAAGAACATCATTAATATTGCTGGGGTGTATTTAGGTCGCTGCTTCCAATTACATATTCTCATTTTTTTTTTAATATTATCTAGCTATAGTTTGCGAAGCTTCACAAATTTAGGCACAATTTCGGTAGCTCTAATAGAAAAGCCATTATTTTCCATCACCGGGGAAAAATTTTGTTTATGCAAATGAGTATGGCAACACTGAACAGGCACAACTTCTAGAAACACTAATTAGTTTACTTGTGTTTATGCATACAATACAAAAATTGCAAATATAGGAAGTTGCCAGAATATTTTGTCCAACATTTCTGTTATTTTTAAATATTTTTTTTTTTCATAATCTGAACGATTTTCATCATATTATTATCATAATCAGTAAGAGTAAGTCTCGCCTTCAATTTGGTTATTATTACGAGAATATTTACCAAAGTAATATCAAAAAACTTAGGTGGATCTCTAGTTTTTTTCTACAAAAATTTCTTTCTGCAAAATGGACTTAAAATGGGCGTTTCTCATCCTAATTGTATTTGGTTAATGTATGTACTTATGTGCTGGAAACTACTATTAATTTATCAAACGATTCCTAATCTTGCACAATACTTGCTTGACTTCGCTCATCACGATTTTGAAAACAGACCAAATCAGCGTGACCAAGTCCATGGTCCTTTTAATATTATATAAACATCCGAAAACATAAAAACGTTTGGCAACAAAAGCAGTATACGTACAATTCTCAAAATAAAAAAATAAAAATTAAAAAAGAGTATCGATAGAGACCATGAGCTGAATATAACGCTATATTTTTTTTTTTTTAGGGGGAAACAACAACTACAAGAGGTATTAAAGGTCAAAGTTCAAATTAGGCAATTTTTTAAATCAGGATTTCTCCAAAACCCTTTCAAGGATTTTGAAAATTTGGATGTCAATTCGATAGAGAATTTAATTCTCTTTAATAATTTACTTATGCTATATATAGTTATGCCTTGTACCGTTTTCACAAAAATCGAATAAATGTAAAAAATATATTTAAAAGAGAATTTTTACAAACCCATTTTCGATTTTTGTGAAAACTGTACAAGGCATAACTATATAACATAAGTACCTCAAATTAAAGAAAATTAGTGAATTCTCTATCGCATGACCTTTCATGGATGGTTTTTTGATTTGATGCTGATTTAAAAAATGCGTAATTTGAACTTTGACCTTTAATAACTTTTGTAGTTGTTGTTTTCCCCCCAAAAAAAAAAAATATATATATATATATACCGCTCCGCTCACCTCAATGATCTCTATCAATCCCATATAATTTTTTTTTAATTTGAGAATTATAGGTATTCTGCATTTATGCCGAATAAATAAATATCGTTTCACTTTTTTACATTTTTGAATTGAAAGTTATAAGGGAAAATTATTGTTATTGTAAGATTTATCTTAGTATATTAAAAACTTGTAGTCTTATTGACAACTGATATAAGTATGAACGTGGATACTAAATTTAATAGCTTTTCATTTGATATATCGTCCTGTTTATAACAATTAACGCATTCCATAGATATTACGAGCCAAAGTTTCATTTTCAAAATTCATAAACTTTGAATCAATTGCGCGGGCTAAAGATAAGTTTCGTGGCCAATAACAATTGGCTTAGACCTAAGACAACATAGTATTACTATTTATTATTATTTATTTATTTCCCCTCCCATACAAAATCGACCCAGCCTAGTGTCTATCTATGATCCTTATAAATTAGAAATCAGAAAGAATTATAAAAGGATTTCGTCTTACATATGTATGTATGTATGTATGTATGTGCCTAATTTACTAATATCTTTCGCAGACTAAGCTGATTTCGTGCTTGATTGAATATTATTAAAAGGTGTTAACCTGAAGAAGAGTTTTAAGACACCCATACTTGCATACATACTTGCATACACATATGTACATATGCATGTATTTATGCCCGTACAGCTAATTCGATTTTCAAAACGAAGGGATCGAGGAGCGAATGTTACATTTATGTATTGGGAGGCTAGAGGGAAAGTGCATGCAGAACAAAAGCGGAGTAGCGGGAATAGAGTAGGCACATGTCGCACACATTCTTTAAAAGTGTATTAACTCAAAATTTCCTGTTTGCAAGACATCTAACCAAACATCTGTTTCAGCTTTCCGGGAGGTCAGATCTGTGAACATATCTAGCACATCTTCTTCTTCTTCTTGATTGAGTCTTTAACCGCCTAAGTGACCCCAAAGCCAAGGATTCTTCCTCGGCTAACACCTGCGGCATTCGCGTTTTATAAAAACGGGGATATTTTGTTCTTTTCATTGATATGGGTTTTTACATGGCGGATCTCAAACGCAGCGCACAACTCCCTCACGGCTTTTTCCCAACAAAAAGAAAAAACTGAATAACTTTAAAAGATGGGAGGGGAGGTTTAAAATACTGTAGCTATTTTTGACAACGTGGGTCAAAACTCTATCAAGTGCCATTAAAATATATCAAATTTCCCAATATATTGACCGCTTTAGGGCCTTTGAGGCACGCCTTTCCGTTATCCGATATTTTAAAAATTTTTCGCAGGGCACGTTTTTATGACCAAATGAGCCTTTCTTTTTTTTTAATAGGACAAAGTTGCAAAATAATCCGCAGTTTACTGCACATGCATGATGGATGGTATTCATTCAATTATTTTGCAAAACTATAACTAAATGTGTTATAGACCACATAAGAAAAAATTCTGTAGAAAAAATCTGAATTTTTGTTCATCTTTTAATGTTTAACACAGCACAACAAAAATATGAAAAAATTTTGGTACGGCAAATGTTAAAGCTGTTTTTGAACAATTTTTTTTGTGCTGATTGCGAATTCGTAAGCATAAAGTTGCCATCAGCTCCAGATTTTGAAAAAAAAAACAAAGTCAACGCCTCAAAAAATCACGGTTGTTTTCAATATTTTAGGAGCTCTAGCAAATAAACAAAAGGTGATAGAACCTTCTCAGCTTAAATTAAGGTTAGATCTCTCGACTAGTATCTCAAAAAAAGATCTTAAATATTTGAGATCTTAAAATATTTTTTATCGTTATTATCTTAAACAATGAATGATGGCAAATTTTGATGCATATTTCTCTGCACAGGGAGAGTAGACTGTCAATGTTATGTTATGTTATAATTTCATTAGGCTCTTATTTATCCAAATTTTCAGGTATTAAAAAAATATTCAATTTAGATGTTGTTGTCGTAGTCGTTTTTTTTAATTTATGGTTTACTATTTTAAAATCACATAACGCTGTTTGCAAGTGGACTACTCATTTCACAAAATACAACGAGAGTTCTACAAAATTAATCAAACCAATTGAATGCACCGAGAAGCTAACTAAGCATAAAGGAAACATAATTGGTTTGCCTATAGTTGGATGACATTTGAATATCCGTAGTGGGTGCGTTGTCGAAAAGTGTATTCGTGTTCGCAGAACTCAACTGCAAAAAAAAAAAAACAAAAACGAACGAAAAACGCACGCAAGTGGTAAAATAAAAAATATTTTCTTATTAGCACATCATAGTCAAGATTGATTATTTGTCAAGTGCACAGAATTGGGGGGAACGTGTTTTTAACATTTAAAATTGTCTCTTTTATAATTCATGCAGTAAAGGGTTAAAAATTGGTCGAAGTGAACGTTTAACATATTGAATACTTCCTTCGGTTCCACGTCGCCCGAAAGCGTACGAATCTTGCGCATTCGATCCTTTCGGTCGCTTTAGTGCGACACTAAATATATATATTTTTTTATGTTTTTAGAGTAGTTTGATATTCTCAAAACATTTTGGTCCAGCTTTGTTGGCACTATTATGATTTTTTTCTGTTTTATGGTAAAAAATCTCAGGCTCATTTTGTGTTTGAAGAAAACTTTGCTGGGCTGCAGTGAAAGTTTTCGTCAAAATCGCTTGGCACTCAATGTGTTAACCCCTTTTTCTTACCACAGATTGGATAGTTTTGCCTTCGCTTTGCTATTTCGCCATAGTCATATTTTCTTGAGTTTGATAACAAATCTGTAATGTCTATGCTAGGTGATATCTGCCCGAAATTGCAGTAATTTCAATATCTTCGAGTTCTTAAAGAAGAATATCGGCAGATATGTTCCACCAATGTTGCCGTTGAGAATTTTCAGAAAGTGGCAAAAAAAGGGGTAACCATATTATTTTTGCTTTTCTTTGCTAGTAAAAGAATAAATCTGTTGAATTTAAAAAGAAAATAGCGTGACAACCTTTGCACGAAACAGGGTTCCAAACATACAGATACATCTAGTTGCTGCAAGGAGAAGAGTTGCATTTCCTCTAAAAGTTTTAATTGATGCATTTTTTTGTACTTACAGGAGGAGATATTTTTTAATAGCATGGTTCTGTTAAAATTTTCTAAAAAGTTTTTGAAAAGAGGCAAAAGTCGCACATAATTTTGGAAATGGGTAAAAAAA